CGTGCGGGAGCGTCTGGCGGACAAGAGCCTGATGCGATCTGCGCATCTCCGACTTTGACCATCACTGCCGCGCAAGGCGGCGTCGCTGTGAGCATGGTGTTCTCAAATTCGACAGTGGGCACGTATCGCTACGACGGTGGACAGTTCACACTTCCTGGCCAAGGGACGGTATACGGGCGCTTGCCTGACGAGAGTCAGACATCTCCCGCGTGGACGGCGCAGAGCTCGAGATCGGAACGGCAGCCACGGATGGCCATCTCGGCGTCTGGATCGCGCAAAGGGGTGGAACGGACGTTGCGGGGGAATACGCCCTCCAGACGACGGCAAGACTGCACCAAAGCTCCGTCAAGGCACTGGACATGATCAATCTCGACCACGACGGGGCGGAGATCCGCCTCATCCTGACCGGCGGCGACGACAACGGTCTCGGTATGACTGTGCTCCAGCGGCGGCATGGCAAGTACGAGTTCGTCTCCAAGACGGGCGTCAAGGGCGCTCATGCGGCGGCTATCAACGGTCTCGCAATTCTGCAGACGATGCCGCCGAGCCCGGAAGAGCAGGCGCGGCGGACGACGTTTGCTACGGTTAGTAACGACCAGCGCGTCAAGGTGTGGTCCCTAAGATGGGGCCTGACCGAGGACGACGAGGCGCAGCTCACCTTGTTGGCGAACGAAAACAGCGGTGTTGCAGACCCAGGCGATCTTGATGTTCTCGACGGGGCTGAGGAGAAGGATTATAGAGAAATTGTAGTTGTGGGTGTCGGCATGGAGACCTGGCGTTTTGATCTGGCAGGAAAGGGAACATTGCGTAGATAGTAGATATCCTTGATGATAGAGAAAAGCAGTAGACGATCCGGATGTTGGAGCCATTATGATGATGCGATCTTGTGATACCAATTACTTACGATCAACCATTGCGGCATCTTCACGTACAGTGCTGAAGTCAAGACTACCGTGCCATGTATAGTTACGAAAAATATGTCACTACACGCAGCTGAATCCAAAAGAAGTAATCGTCATTGAGCGTCTCGCCCATGAAGGGTATCCAATGCCTAAGTAAGCAAAATGAAAATAACCACGCTATGCAGCTTCCCCTATCGGGAGGCACGGCCTCCGCAACCCCCCTCGTGATATTTGGGCCTGTTCCAATTCCCGTCAACGTCCTCACGAACCAGTGCAGCCACCCCTCTGTCTCCAGCGTGGCCTTGAGCTCCTCCGCGCGCGCCTCGACATCCTCAACCTGGCGTTCGAAAACCAAGACGCCGTCCTCGACATCCCCAACCTTGCCCCCAAGCGCATTGACCTCGTAATCGAGCCGCGCGGCGAGGACCTCAACCTCCCGGATGGCCTCGGTGAGGCGCCCGCGCTCGGATGCAATGAGCTCAGACGAGCCCTGCTTGACGCGCTGGTAGGCTTCAGAGAGCTGATAGTAGAGGCCCTGGATCTCCTCGTGCTCGCGCGTGTAGTGCGCGTCAAGGGCTTCAATGGCCCCAACCTTTGTGACGACCCAGGGTGAAATGTGGTTGCTAATCGAATAGATGGAGCCGTACAGAGCGCGGGCCAGCTCAGCGACACCAGCCTGCTGCTTGAGGGCGACGAGGGGGTCGTGGGGCGGGGCGGTGTCGGGGAGCAGGCCTGTGACCTCCTCCCAGCGCAGCACCGCCTCCTCTGCATCGCCAAAGGAGAGGCGGCGCGGCCAGCGTGCTTCGCTGATCGCCGGTCTGCGGGATGGCGTGGAATACTCGATGCTGTGCCGGCGCTGGAGAAATGCTGCCTCGATGTTTTCGCCTCGTTCTTGCCTCAAAGGGTCCAAGGAGATCCGTCTCGATGGTCGAACCGACGACCGACGGCTGGGCGTCGTCGTTGTCTTCCTCCTTGATCGGCTCACTGACGGCGTGGCTCCATTCGCTGCCGACACGCGAGGGCGGGTCTGCAACTTGCTGGTCGTCGTCTCCCTCGGCTGCGCCCTTCTCGATTTCGTTAGCCTGCTCCGCCTCCTTTTTGAACGAGTTGAGGTATTCTTCCGGCTTGTTCTTCCAGGTGAATGCTCTGTTGATCCCCACCGGAGGAGCTGATAGTGCCGAGTTTTGCTGGAGTGCCGACGTGCTCGGGGTCGCATACCCTCCATCAGAGAAATCATCCCTGCTGGGCCGGCTGGCGTGGCCTCTCCGACTGCCACCTATGGTATCTTTGATGCGCCCGAGTCCAGACCGGGCGTCGCTGACGCGGCCAGCCACGCTCTTGAACACGCCCCTCCGCGATGGATCCTTCTCCCCCAAGACGGCATCATTCATAGTCGCAGCCTGAATAGGAGTTTGGACAGGGTGTAGGGCATTCGCCGGTTCCTCTTTGGTACGCTGGACCTCTTCTTCCAAGGGCAAAGACTGCACCCTTCTGCTGGGCGTCACGAGACCCTCCTTGGCCTCCTTTTCGCCAAAGAGGATGGCGCTCATGTCGGGCGTCTTTTCGTTGGATTCTAGCGCCGTCCTCTTAGGCTTACCGAGCCAAAGCCATTTGGCACGTTCGCCGGAGACCAGGTCGACGAATTTCGAAATGTCCAGCGTCTCAATGTCTCCAATGGCGCCCTTGTCCCGCCCACCGACCAGGCCGATGACGAGCTCGCCTCTCTTTCCGCCGATTTCTGCCACCGTGGATTTGACAGCCTTTTGGACGCCCCAGCCCTCGCCCGCTGCGGCCTTGGCCGTGACGCTGTGGAGCTTGAGAACTGTCTGACGGTCCAGCCGCCTCGTCTTTTCCAGCTTCTGCGACCTCTGGAACCACGAAATACCTCGCTTCGTGCAATCAATGTCGAACACGTCCTTGGCGACTGGCGCTCCCAGGTAGTGGAGACGATTCCTTGCGCCGGACAGCATGCCGAGCAATGCAGCCACAGTCGTCGGGCCGAGGATGCCGTCAGTAGGCTCGATGTTGTAGTATTCGGCGCCGACTTCAGTCCACCAGTTGCCAATGGAGTTTCCGTCTTGTCACAAAGCAGGCCATCGACGTACTCAAACTCGAGTTTGCCAAACAAAAACAGCGCCGTCTGACAGAGCTTTACGAGTTCCAAGACGGACTCGAAAAAGGGCGGGCGGTCGCTCGTTCGGAAGAGCTGATAGAATTTGGCCTGGGTGGCCGGCGTGGGATCGGTCAAGGACATGCCAGATCTGCCAGAACAGCCCAGACGCTTGAGATCCTCATTGACGATAAAAAGCTTTCGGTGGGTTCGAATGTCGCCATCGGGAACAGGAATGACGGTCAAGGCCGAAGGAAAACTGCTGAGGTTCGTCACCATGAGCTCACCTTCGTCCGTCTCCTTCGGTCGTGCGTGATACTGCTGGATGGATTTGAAATACAGCCGCAGCCGAGGTGACCAGGGCGGTCTCGTCTGCGGGAACCCCCAAAACTCCAGCCACCACTGTGTGTCGCTCATCGCCTGTATACGTGACTATGACGAGTGTTGGGAGACTCGCGGAAGCATGCCCACTGTTCCGCCAGATATAGTTCGTATGCACGCAGCACCCGTCGTCGCTCAACACCGATTACAGCTGGGTCGTCTTCGAGGTATCTGGAATCAATGTCAGACATGCATCAGGAGAGTTGTGGGCCTTCAAGGCTTACCGAAAGCCACGGAGTCGGCAAAAATCCATCTCTTTCTGTGGAAGTGGTGCTGGGGCAGACGTAGCAGAATCACCCGAGGCATCCTTTCTCGAGCTCGCAGATCCATTGACCTCAGCTCCGGAAGCCGTGCGGGCATTTCGTGGCGAAGAGTTGACTCGGGCCAGCGTGACCTCCTCCTCGCGGTGTGACCATGGGTCAGGAGGGACCGGAAAGGGGAATCGAAACGACATGGTGTTGCAGCTTCAGGCAAGGCTTTGCCTTTGGCATGGTGACTATTGCACAACCATGAGGGTGTGTAGGCGAGTATGCCGTCGTCAAGTTGGCTCGAGCCGGAGGCAGCCGTGGGCCGAGGTGCAGGAGGCAGGATGCGAAAGGCGATTGACAATGATGGTCGTTGGTGTTGGCTCTTTGCCAACGTGACGCAATGTCGGCACTATGCGATGGGGACCCTCCAGCTTCAGCCACACATCAGCACTGCCACATTCTACGAGTGAAGGCCATCCAGGTTGGGTAGGTACTTTGTCTTAAACGGGCCTAGCAGGAATGGCCCGCCTTTTCGTCCCTGCATTGTCTCGATCTATTTCTCATGTCATACAAGCATTATTTATTACTCGTGTTTGGGGGTGGGTGTCTACCAGAGAGAAAACAGATTGTGCTTCTTTGCGACAAAGTCAAAGCCGGGAGCAGCTGAGGAAGGCTGGCTTCGCTGAAATAGCGCTAAAAGGCAACAGCCTGGCTGCTTTGGTTTGGACAGACTACTGGACCTTGTTAGCTTTGGCACATGAGGTCCTACACTTACCTAGAAATACTAAGTGAACCAGCTTACCCAATTCTTGAGCTTGGCCTTGGCACCAGACCCAACTGCCCCTCCTTCGCATGCCACAAGCCAAGTACTAGCCGTACAACAAGCACCTTCTTCAGACCCTCAACCCTCGACCCCTGCTTGACGTAAGGTAGCTGTGACACATCGTTGTCGCATGTCCAGCCCAGCTCCAGCCTATCTCTCCAGCCAGCGCAGTTGACGCGCTTTCTTCCCAGAAACAAAACCATCTTTTGCTGTGCGCCTGCAGTCGTCAAAATCGCCATCATGGACTTCAACAGCTCATCGCCCTACCCTGCGGGCGTCATTTCCTTCCTGGATACTGACTTGTACAAGCTGACGATGCAATGTGCCGTCACCAAGTATTTCAAGGATGTGCCCGTAACCTACGCCTTCACGAACCGAACTCCTGAGAAGAAACTCTCCAGGGAGGCCTTTCGCTGGCTAGAGCAGCAGATCCAGAGTTCGTGACCCCTCTCTGTGTTTGTGTCTGTTTTCTTTTTTTCGCGCGTGTTTGCCCTCATGATGGTCGTACGACCCATGAGAAATCACGTTCGCGCCGCGGAACCCCGCGCTAACCCCGCCATACAGAACTCGGCAACATTTCCCTGACCGATGAAGAGCACCAGTTCCTCCAGCGTCACTGCCCTTACCTGACAGAAGAGTACCTCAACTTCCTCAAGGAGCTGAGGTTGCGACCGCGCGAGCAGGTCACGACGACATTCACCCCCGAAGGCAACGACACGGGCGCAGACACCGATGTCGGCCATGTCGACATCAAGATCCAGGGTACCTGGTCCGAGACGATCCTCTACGAGATCCCCATGCTCGCCCTAACCTCCGAGGCCTACTTCCTCTTCATGGATAAGGACTGGACCTATGACGGCCAGGAGGAGCGCGCCTTCGAAAAGGGTCAGCAGCTCCTTGAGGCCGGCTGCACCTTTTCCGAGTTCGGCACCCGCCGCCGCCGCGACTACCATACCCAGGCTCTCGTCTTCCGCGGCCTCGTCCGTGCCGACAAGCAAGCCGAGGCCCGCGGCTTCAAGGCCCGCCTCAGCGGCACGAGCAACGTCCACCTTGCGATGCGCTTCGGCATCCCCCCCGTCGGCACCGTCGCCCACGAGTGGTTCATGGGCATCGCTGCCATCACCGACGACTACCGCGGCGCCACCGAGGCTGCCCTGCGCTACTGGGTCGGCGCCTTTGGCGGCAAGCTCGGCATCGCCCTCACCGACACCTTTGGCACCCAGGAGTTCCTGCGCGCCTTCAGCCGCCCCGTCGACCCGGTCGATGGCGATGCCGGCGACTACAAGAAGGCGGACGGCTCCGTCAAGACGTACGCTGAGCTGTTCGCCGGTGTGCGCCAGGACTCGGGCGACCCGACCGAGTACGTCGAAATGCTGCGCAAGTACTACGCCGACCAGGGCATCACGGGCAAGACCATGGTCTTCTCCGACTCGCTCAACATTGAGCGATGCCTCGAGTACAAGAAGATTTCCGAGGCCGCGGGTTTTGTGCCGACGTTTGGTGTCGGCACCTTCCTCACCAACGACTTCACCCGACTCAAGGACGGGTCCAAGTCGACGCCCCTCAACATTGTCATCAAGCTGAGCTCGGCGGCTGGCAGGAATGCCATCAAGATCAGGTCAGTTTTCTTGGGCGTTTCTCTTGTCCTGAAGCTAATTGTGGTGCAGTGACAACTCGGGTAAGAACACAGGTGATAAGGGCACCGTGGAGAAGGTCAAGCAGGAGCTCGGCTACGTGGAGCGCGAGTGGAAGGGCGGCGATGAGACGTCGCGATGGGGCAAGGATGGCGCTAAGCCTTGATACCGCAGCAGACCGCCGAGCGCCAAACCCGAGTGCTGCGGGTTATCACGGCACCGTATGCACTCTGTCTCGGCGCTGAAAGCACCCAGTGACCTGGCCAATACGGCGTTGGCCGTTGCGTTCATCAACCAAGCAAGCACGGCGCACTTTCATCACAAAAACCGCACGGAGCCAGTCCATTGGGACGGGTTGCATCTTTCCCGTGGTGGCTCCGCGGCGCGAGCCGCTCAAGCGACATCCGTCAGCCCGCCCGGATGTTATCCAGTGTAAGCTGGCGAGAGACCAAGGTCAGGTTGATTGATCTTCAGGATGCCCAGCTACCTGAGTCAGTTCGTCCATGGAATCATCGCAAACAGGATTATACCATATGGCAGGCAAGGGTAGTAGAGCTTGGCCCTTTTCTCAGAAGCGGCATAGACCCAATGCTGGACGTAGACGCAGCCTGCACTGCTTGCCAATTTAGAAATGTTAGAAGAGCCAAGAACCTATCAGCCAATAAAAACATGATGTAGTTCAATGCCTAGCATCATAGTATCCCTCAAAAGGAGAAAAAAAAAACCACTGCTGCGTGGCCGGGCGTGCCATGATCTTGATCTATTTTCCTAATGGTGGTATATTCCGTCATAGGGGCGCACCGTAGGGCCCCAGTCACATCTGTCACGCACCGTACTCTCAATGTGGGGTGAACCATCGCAGTCCCACCCTCAACACACCGCCCGGCAGAAAATGTTCTCTCCGCCAAAATTTTGGATGGCAGCTCTCGTAGAGAGTCGTCCAAGCCCATCGAGTCCCGCGCCTGGCTCTTGACCGACGAACTTCACCCAGACGCTGTCACGACCCAACAGCTCTGCACACCGCCAAGATGTCGCAAAAGCAGAAGCAGGTGTAGGTCTACGCCACTCCCTTTTCCCTCAATCAGCATCGCCCTGACACACTCTATAGAGACTCGCGCATCCCCGCGCTCATTCGCAATGGCCTGCAGGAGAAGAAGCGAAGCTTCTTCGTCGTGGTCGGTGATCGCGGCAAGGACATCATCGTGAACCTGCACCACATCATGTCGCAGATGGAGCTCAAGCAGAACAAATCGGTTCTCTGGGCCTACAAGAGCAAGCTCCTCAACTTCACAAGGTACGCTAGTCCCCGAGCATCCTTAACCCCCCCCCCGGGGGGAGCCATGGACTGACGAGTCGCAATGCAGTCACCGACAGAAGCGAGAGAACAAGATCAAGAAGGAGGTGAAGCGCGGCATCCGCGAGGCCAACGATATGGACCCATTCGAAGCCTTCGTTACCCTGCACAACATCCGCTACGTCTACTACAAGGAGACTGAGAAGGTTCTCGGAAACACCTTCGGCATGTGCGTCCTCCAGGACTTCGAGGCACTGACGCCTAATATTCTCGCCAAGACCATGGAGACTGTTGAGGGTGGCGGCCTCGTCATTCTGCTGCTCAAGGGTATGAACAGCTTGAAGCAACTCTACAACCTGTCCATGGACGTCCACAACCGTTACCGTACCGAGGCCCACGACGATGTCGTTGCCCGCTTCAACGAGCGCTTCATTCTGTCGCTCGGCGGCTGCGACTCTTGTCTTGTCATTGACGACGAGATGAACGTTCTCCCCATCTCTGGTGGCAAGAACGTTACGGCCCTGCCTCCTCCCGACCTGGATCAGCCTGTCAGCGAAACCCAGAAGGAACTGGACGGCATGAAGGAGTCGCTTCAAGATACCCAACCAGTCGGCTCCCTGGTTACCCTTGCCAAGACTGTCGACCAAGCCAAGGCCCTCTTGACATTCGTCGACGCCATTGCCGAGAAGACGCTGCGCAGCACAGTCACCCTGACGGCAGCGAGAGGTCGTGGCAAGTCGGCTGCCATGGGTGTGGCCGTCGCTGCCGCGGTGGCTCACGGATACAGCAACATCTTCATCACGTCGCCCTCGCCAGAGAACCTGAAGACGCTCTTCGAGTTCATCTTCAAAGGTTTTGACGCTCTGGGCTACGCCGACCACGCCGACTACTCGATCATTCAGTCCACGAACCCCGATTTCAACAAGGCGATTGTTCGCGTCAACATCCACAGGCAGCACCGCCAGACCATCCAGTACATCAGGCCGCAGGACGCTCACGTTCTTGGCCAGGCCGAGCTGGTCGTCATCGATGAGGCCGCCGCCATTCCCCTGCCCCTCGTCCGCAAGCTCATGGGCCCCTACCTCGTCTTCATGGCCTCCACCATCAACGGTTACGAGGGTACTGGTCGATCTCTGTCCTTGAAGCTGATCAAGCAGCTACGAGAGCAGTCGAGGCCAGGTGCGGCATCCAACGGCGACACCACCGTCGCTGACCGCTCCACGGGCCGCGCTTCCAAGGAGCAGTCTTCTGGTTTCCAGGCTAGCCGTTCCCTGCGCGAGATCACACTCTCCGAGCCGATTCGTTACGCCAAGGGCGACTCCGTCGAGAAGTGGCTCAACACTCTCCTCTGCCTGGACGCGACCCTGCCCAGAGCCAAGGTCAGCGGCCAGGGCTGCCCTGACCCGTCGCAGTGCGAGCTCCTCCAGGTCAACCGCGATACCCTCTTCTCCTTCCACCCCGTTTCCGAAAAGTTCCTGCAGCAAATGGTCGCGCTGTACGTCGCCAGCCACTACAAGAACTCGCCCGACGATTTGCAGCTGATGAGCGACGCCCCTGCGCACGAGCTCTACGTTCTCGTGCCGCCCGTTTCGGAGGAAAACCAACGTCTTCCTGAGCCCCTGTGTGTCATCCAAGTGTCTCTCGAGGGAAAGATCAGCAGGCAGAGCGTCCTCAACTCGCTGAGCCGGGGCCAGCGGCCGTCTGGTGATCTCATCCCCTGGTTGGTCAGCCAGCAGTTCCAGGATGAGGACTTTGCCTCGCTGTCCGGAGCCCGCGTTGTGCGCATTGCCACGAACCCCGAGTACATGGGCATGGGCTACGGTTCCAAGGCGCTGCAGCTCCTCACAGACTTCTACGAGGGCAAGTTCACGAGCCTGAACGAGGAGGACATTGTCATGGAGGACACCATCACTCGCGTCACGGACGAGGAGCTCGAGAACGCGAACCTCCTCGAGGACAACATCAAGATTCGCGACATCAACAAGATGCCGCCCCTGTTCGCCAAGCTCTCCGAGAAGAAGCCCGAGCTGCTCGACTACATTGGCGTCAGCTACGGCCTCACCCAGGAGCTACACAAGTTCTGGAAGCGGGCGACCTTCGCGCCCGTGTACCTGCGGCAGACGGCCAACGACCTGACTGGCGAGCACACGTGCGTCATGCTGCGACCGCTCGAGAACGGCGGCGACAGGTCTTGGGTCGGTGCCTTCTCTCGCGACTTCCACAAGCGCTTCCTGTCGCTGCTGTCGTACCAGTTCCGCTCTTTCTCAGCCGTCATGGCGCTGAGCATTGACGAGTCGGCGAACCTCGGCGCCAAGCTCGACGAGCAGGAGCCCGCGCCCCTCAACAAGACGGACCTTGACAGGCTCGTGTCGCCGTTCGACCTGAAGCGTCTTGAGTCGTATGCCAACAACATGCTCGACTACCATGTCATCCTCGACCTCATCCCCACCATCTCCAACCTCTACTTCACCGGCCGCCTCAAGTCCGACATCAGGCTCACGGGCGTGCAGCAGGCCATTCTGCTGGCCATCGGCGAGCAGCGCAAGGACCTCGACGTCATCTCGACGGAGCTCTCGCTGCCCTCGCAGCAGCTCCTCGCCATGTTCATCAAGATCCTTCGCAAGGTGACGACGCACTTCACGGCCCTCGTCTCCAAGGCCGTCGAGGCCGAGCTGCCGCAGAGCAAGTCCCTCGGCGTCAGCCGCGAGAACGCAACGGGCGTGCACGACGACGAGGTCATCGACCAGCGCTTCCAGCCTCTCGAGACGACGCTCGACGACGAGCTCGAGGAGTGCGGCGACGAGGTCCTGCAGACGCTGCGCAAGAAGCAGCGCGAGCTCATCGACTCGCTCCCGCTCGACGAATACGAGATTGAGGGCGACACGCCGGCGTGGCAGGAGGCTGAGGCGCAGGTGGCCAAGGGGCCCGCGAGCACCGTCGTCAGTGTCAAGTCCAAGTCGAAGCGCAAGGCTGGCCAGACGGCGGCCGAGGTGTATGACGAGGCTGTCGGAGAGAAGTCGAGGAAGAAGGCCAAGAAGGGTGGCAAGCGCGACAGGTGAGCGAGGGGAAGATTTTGATCTCGGAAGACAATGTTATTTCGAGGATGAGACTGTATGTGTTGTCTGCATGACATTTACGCTCACGTTGTACATATCGGGCAATCGGCGTTTGGGGCGAGGTTTGCGTGTTCCAACCAGGTCGGGTAGAGTCAAAAAAAAAGTATGAGCATTCACTCAAACGTACAGCAGAGGCCTCAAGACATAAAGTGTGACTTGTTTCATTCTGGCAGGCGCCGTGGGAAACCCCTCTTTCCTTGTGCCTTCCAGGTGATTCCTGCCTTACCTGAACAAAGCAACCACCTGCCTTCTGCACCAGACAACTCCTTTGACGTGGTCGTGATTCTTCAACACCAGTATTCTTCAACCATAATAGCTCTGTCCACTCCGGAATCCTTTGTTCTTCCCTCCTGTCCGCCGTGGGCGTTAGAATGTCTCTGGTCTTATTGAGCCGCTACCCATATCTCTCCACCGGGAGCTCGACGGCAGCAAAGAAAACGAAGCATCCATCTCACGAAAGACTCAAGGCCGAAGACTTCTTTTATCTTGTCTGCATGAGTCCATCACCATCCAGAGAGCCCATCCTACCGCCCGCGCAAGAATGTGCGTCCAAGACCTCGCCTACTGCATCTACTGCGGCTTCGAGCGCACAATGCACTTCCAGCGCTGCAAGCACTGGATCAAGGCGCTCGCGGCCTACCACAGAGCGTACCCGTCCGACTGCCTCAGCAAAGCGCCGTACCCTCGGGCCCAGGACTGCGGGCACCTCTCGCGCAACCTGAGAATGGCGATACGGCCCGGCGCCTGCCCGCGAGGACCGCCGCCGCCCAGGGAGGCAGCGACCGGCGAGGGACAGAACGGCGGCCAAACTTGTGACGGCGAAGGCTGCCGCGGCTACGAAGCCGAGACGCAGCTGAAAGCCATGGGGCGAGGCGAGTGGGAGACGACCTGGGGGCATCGCATCTTGCGTTGGGAGACGGGCCTGCAGCAAGTCGAGTTCATGACGCACCGCGCCGACGACATGCCTGGCGCTCTCGAGGTGCTGAAGCGCAGCAACAGCAGGATGGGCAGGAGGCAGGGCACCGGCCTCCTCGCCAAAGAGGACAACGTGATGCGCCGCGCTCAGGGGACCGAGCCAGCTCTGCCACCGCCGCCGCCGCCGGACTCCTCCGGCGTCGCGTCCAGCCCCACGATGAAGTTTCTCAAGAAGCCGCAGACCACGCATGCTGTCACTGCCGAGAGCGTGACGGGACAGATTGCCGGCGAACAAAAGACGAGGCGCGTCCAGTGGGCAGGCGCTGCGCAGAGGACAACGGACAAGACCAGGACGGAGCCCGAGGACCAGTTCGAGGAGGATTCGACAGCGCCCAGTGACCAGCTCGCCGCGCTGGGCGTCAAAGTACGCACAATTCTGGCCGGGCACGTCAGCTACATCGACCGTGAGAAGGGGAGGATTCGAGGAATGATGGACCAACATGTCGATCGCCAGAGGGAGAAGGCAACCACCACACGCTCGGCAGGTCCCAAACGAGTCCGCCATTACAACGGGCCCATGGAGCGGCCTTCGCGACACACATTAGGAGACACTGGGGCACCCGTCATACTGGCATGTGCGCTGCACAAGAAAGGGGCCATGAGCAAGGACAGACAGGCCGCCCTCAGGGGCTTGGGATGTGTAATATGAGGCGTTGGAGTTTGCGACACCCGGTCTGCATTTAGTCAACGGCGATCATTTGCGAAGATACCCACTGGCCTGTACGACAGTTTCTGTCTACAGCATAGAATGAGGAGACGAAACTAAAGCAAAGGTCTCGTGGCTAGCACGGGGGCTAGCTACCACGATCGAACAGGAATAGTCATAATCGTAATGCAAACACCGCTGCCAATCAGCATGAGCGTAAGGTGGGCGGCCCATAGTTGAACAAATGATCAGTCGCTACAAGCAAGTCACAGACCGGAGACAACGTTGAACAGACAAAAAATATATGGCAAACCTAGCACTAGACTCATGCCAACGCCGATAATGCTAAGCAGAGCATGACAGAAGCAGAACCACAGACAACGATAAGAGATAACGCCCCTATTTGCAAATACATCCTCCGCAAGAATACTGTCGATCCAGTGGTAGCGAAAGTGGGTGGTATACAACGAGAAAAAGAAGGAGCCGTCCATGCGCGAACGATCCAGCATGCGCTCCTGAAAGTATTTCCAAGGATCCTGGCGTCAAGCCAGGACGACGCTCGCGATTGTTGCGGGAGGCCCTGATGAGATCTAGTAGTATGAGATGAGGAGCCTCGCGCTCCAGAGTGTGTTGAAGGTGCCACGTTGGAAGAGACACGTTCTAGAAACGTCTTTTGGGGGGGAAGTCGTCAAACAGGCGTCGCATATGCCCGCTTAGAATTGTGGTGGTGCCACACGGATGTTGCGTGCTTGACCAGCAGCCCAGTTGTCGCGGGCAGCGTTCGCGCCGGGCTGCAAGTCTCCTGGCCGGACCATCTTGTCCTTGAATACACGGACCATGGTGTCTGCGTCCACGGGCACAGAGTTGACGATAGGTAGAGAGGTGAGGTCGAGTGCTCGCTTTTGGTTGTTGTTGTTCTTGTTGCTGTTGTTGATCATCACATAGGCAACAACCGCGCCGACGATGATGAGGATGATGAGGACTACATCCAGTCAGTATGAGCAAGGGCGGCGCGATCCGGTTGTTTGGTGAGTGAGACTTACCGCAGATACCCAGGCACCACCACTTCTTCTTGCGGGTCTTCCTTGCCGTGTCGACGGCGACGCCAATTTCCTCGTTGCCCTTGTCTAGGTTCTCGGCAACCTCCTCGCCCTTCTGCTCGATCTGGGCGACGGCTGCCTCCTGCTGCACGACAAGGGTGTCCATGTCCTGGAAGAGCTGAGCCAGCTCGACCATCTGCTGTTCGATGCGCTGGATCTCTGCGTGGCGGTCCTGCACAGCGTTGAGGGCAGCACGTGCCTGGCCCTGGCGACTGCTTTGCATCAAGGCCTGGCTGAAGACCTGGCCGCCGTTGGGGTCCTCGACTGCCTGGCGGACCTCGCTCTCATCCGCATCGGGTCGCACAATGCGGTACTGGCGGGCCATTTGCTCCTGGGTCTTCTTGCGGAAGGTCGACTCGATCTGCTGGTACTGCTGGATAACCTGCTTCAGGCGGCGGTCGACGCGGCCGACCTGAGGGCTGTTCTTGGGCGTACGAGAGTCGGGGTTGGACTTGACGACACGGACGCGATCAACGAGAGCGCGGTACATGGTCATAGTCTCGCTGCCAATGCCATCGAGCTGGCGCTTCGCAGGGCTGGCGCCCGATGTGTCGGCGTCGGCGAGAACACGGTCCTGAAGCATGCGCAGCTGGTCCAGATTGCGCTCAACCTCGTCAATTCCAGAGTCAATAGAGCGGCACTCGTTCAGAATGGCGTTGGGATCGCCCTGTCCAAAACTGCCTGCGTTCTGGGCGAGGGGGGCCATCTCGACGTTCGAGCCTGGAACAAACGTCAGTATGCCCATCAAACAAATCGAGGCTTTAATTGTACATACCGGCACCGTAGGAGTCTTGTCCCTGGCTGTACTGATTCCTGCCGCCATAGGACTGTGCTGGCGGCGCACCGTAGCCTTGTTGAGGGGCCCCATATCCGCCAGCGTCGTCCCTCTGGTCGAAGGGGTTCTGCCTTCCTCCGTACCTGTGAGGTCGATTCGGTCAGCAAGAGTTGCGACTGTGAGGTTGAGGGCGCGGTGGTTGTTGGGGGACTGTTGGGGGTTCGTCGGGGAAGGGTCGAAAGTTGCTCAATTCGAGGCAACAACGGGGGCGCTCGTGACGGAGGAGATCTAGACATACCCGTACTGGCTCATGTTGTTAGCGACGAGAAGACCAAGGGGTGCAATGATGCTGAAGTGTGGGTGTGGTATGTGAATGGTAATCTCGTGGGAAGAGCAAAACAGGAGTGAGAATGTCAGATCGTCGGCACCATGCGTCGTATACGGCGTCAGGTACGGGATAGGTAGGGAGGCAGAAGACAGGCAAGCGGTGTACTCGAGCAGTGACAGCCAAGTACGAATGGAGCAGACGGGGTGCAGAGGACCATGTTTCTTTCTTGCGGAGCTTTACAGACGAAACACTGGGAGTACGGGAGATGGGTTGAAACACATACGCTCATTGTGCTTTGCGGAAGCGCGGAGGCTTCTTCCTTGCAAGGTTTTGGTCGGCGGGCGTTTGACGATCGGAGTCGTTAGGAATGCCTCGCAAGAGTCAATAAGGCCGAATATGGTGGAACTCGTGCAGAGCGACAGAGAGAGAGAGAGAGGAAGGAAGAGGCAGAAAGAGAGCGAGGATGAAGGGTTGGTATGCGGGAGGTGGGAATGGATGTTCGAGGTCAGTCTCAGGGATATGGAGCCTTTCTCCTGTGCTGTCCAAAGGGTTGTGCCGAGAGTTGCGAGGGTTGGTGCGGACAATGGCAGTGAAGTAAGGTTAAGTTGGATTGGGCTGGTAGTAATCAAAGCCCCTGACACTGGGTCTGAGGAGGGAAAGGTCAGAGGAGGATCGCCGCCCGGTGTACCAAGTAGTGGCGGCGTAGGGTGGGAGGATTGGTCGAGGGCGCGTGCGCGGGTCTGATCGATTCGAGGCGAGATGGCCAACAGGAGACACAGAAGCGAAGTGAGGATGTCTGCTTTTAGCCGACTGCGACCTTGTGTTCTTTTGGGCAGGCAGTTGACAAGAGACGGCGACAGATGGAGATTCACCTCGTCCGCAACCTGGTCCAGAATCGAAGCAAGACCCAGAAGCAGTCTGCTCGACAAAATGGCAGCTCGCAGACGCAGGAGACGGGCCAGGAGTTGTGAGTCGCTCGCGACGGCCTGAGACGATTGGACCCTGATGCTTGGACAAAGGGCTGGACGCCTCTAAAGCGCGTTGGTTCTGTAACAGACTTGGGGTGAGGGGCGAATCAACATGAGGCAGGCGAGGGCCTGATGCAGGTCCGAGTGGGGCGGGTCCCTCCTGCTTTGCCTTTGGCTGCTTCTGTCCAGCCGATCAGGGGCCAGTACGGTGCCGCCGTTTCTCTTTCCTACCTGTACCGTAGGCAGGCTTGGCAGGCAGGCAGGCAGCGCAGCGCAAGAGGTAGGCAAGTAGGTAAGAAGGCTTGGCAAGAGGCACTGTGGAAGAAAAAGCAGCCCGCTCCGCTCGTATTCGTGCTTCTTCCCTCTGATGTCAGCAGAGTTCCGATAGATGGGATCACTGGAATCCTCACTCAATGACAAAGGGGAGAAAAGGTTCGGTAGGTAGCTAATAGAGCGCCTAGATTACCATCGGTGCGATCGGGTCCTGGGCGAGGATGCTCTAGTGCTGTATTGCCTCAAGCATCAGAACACTGCACTCCTAACGGCGAGCTCCTCTGTCTTTTATCCTTTCCCTGCCCGAAACCTTCGCAGCCTCAGCCCTGCCCGCTTCAACAAGCCCGCCTGCAAGTCTTACCCGACCTGTCGCGCTACTCCTCAGCTCATGCTGGTCATCCATCCTTGACGAATCGATCTCTCATCGTCGTCTGTTCTACTGTCTCTGCCGCCAGCTCAGCTTCCTATACTCGTCCGTTTCCATCCATCTTGCTCTTTGTCCGCTCGCTCGCTCCACGATCCGTTGTCCATCGCCCGCCTCACGCTGAAGCGCTGGCCAGTGCGGCGCTACGATGTCATTTACATTCTTCGGCGTCAAGCGGCTTTAAGCTCTTTTACAGGGGAACCAAGATGACGCTTAAATGACGGAGGGCAATAGTCTGCCTGAGCTTGCATGCCACTCACGTTGGTCCACGTCGTAACCTAAAACGATCTTCTCATCGTGGCTTTACGGGCACGCACACGCAATCAATTCTCATCGTACTCTCATATGGTCCTTTGGCATGTTTCCTTTCCAGATCAACGACATAGTGGATGCGATTTTTGAGCAGGCCGGATGCGAAATGTTTTTATAGGCATCTATCGTACCGACTCTCTACATTTACAAAGTCTTCTAGTGACTGACAAAAGTGAAGCTGCCCCGTGGTATTCATGATCTAAGCCACGCAGAAACGTCAACGGAATACTTGAAGAAGAAAAGGTCCACTTGAGGACATGGACTTTGGCTCTCACTTCTGTAGGCGATTCGAGCATTGGGCTAGATGCCTCCAGCCATGAATCACCAATTACCCAGAGGGTTGCTGGATCATCTCATAAACGAGACACATAGCGCTCAGGAGGCGTCTGTCTCTCAGAACACGCATGCTCCTTTGGATGCCTAACAAATACGCAGCTTTGCAAGCAATCATCGATGTGGCCGGTACTTCTCCGTCCCACCGATATTGTTGAGATCCACACGTCCGGCCGCTGCCGTTGGGTTGAGCGCCGGCGTCAAATCCCTCACCGGCCCGCGACCGGACCTAGCTCAAGATTTATGACCTTAATCACTCACCAGAAGAAGAATCTTTGTACTATTCTTCTCATCAACAGACCTCACAGAGACACCTCTAGGGCACGTCAAAACCGGTAACCCAGCACATTGCACACCATGGCAACCAGTTTGACACCTGAGCTCACCAGCTACCTGGAGGCGGTCCTCCCCTCCGACTCCCGCGCCGCCCTCCGCACATCCCTCCTTCCATCGCTCATCGATGCCATTCACGCCATATCCAAGACCCTCCAGGCCTCTCACCACGTCGCTCTCGTCGGCACCGCCAACGCTTTCGGCGATGACCAGCTCAACGTCGACGTCTCCTGCGAGAACCTCCTCCGCGAGGCCCTCGCCCGCTGCCCCTCCGTCACAACCGCCAGCAGCGAGGAGGACCCTGTCGAGACGCCCGTCCACACCGGTGCCTCAGCCGCAGCCCTCGACGCAGAGCAATACACCGTCGCCTTTGACCCCCTCGACGGCAGCTCCATCATCGCCCCCAACTGGTCCGTCGGCACCATCCTCAGCATTTGGGACGGCCCCACCGCTCTCAACCAGGACCCCGCCACCCGCCAGGTCGCCTCCGTCCTCGGCGTCTACGGACCCCGCGCCACCGCCATCGTCGCCCTGCGCATCCCCGGGTCGACTCCGACGTGCTTCGAAGTTGCCGTGCAGCCCGCCGGCACGGCGCATTCTCTCCTCCGAAAGGATATCCGCCTCGCCGCGCCGCCGTTCAAGACGCGCTACTTTGCGCCCGCGAACCTGCGCTCCGCTGCCGAGGACGCGAAGTACATGTCGCTGATCACGCGCTTCATCACCGAAAAGTGGACGCTGAGGTACTGCGGCGGGCTCGTGCCGGACGTCGTGCACGTGCTCGTACAGGGGCAGGGCGTCTACGTCATGCCTGTCGGAGGCACGAGCAAGCCCAAGCTGAGGCGGCTGTACGAGTTGTGCCCTATCGCGCTGGTGTTGGAGACGGTGGGTGGAAAGGCGGTGGATCCCGTGCACGGTAGGGGAATCTTGGAGACAGAGGTGAAGGACTGTGATGAGAGGGGGGGCCTGATCTTCGGCAATGTGGAGGAGGTGGACAGTGTGATCGAGGCGTTGCTTGGGAAGAGCGCTTAGACTTGATCTATTGCGTGCAAATAGGAGGCGCAGGGCTAATGACAAAAACCGAGATGGACATCGCATTTTACGTATAAACTGACGGCAGTGGGAGTCGTGATTTTTTTCTTCAGCATGGTAAACATAGATGCCTCGCGGCACAGTCCGACTGGGACCTAAACCTCTAACGCCTGGCTACTAAACGAGAACAAAAGCAGAAATGCACGTCCTCACGGGCTTGTCGTCCATCATCATATCGTTACTGGGACCTTCCGTCCATCGTCAATCGTACCAGGGCCGCTGCCCTGGGCCTCACTCGGAAGCCCTGCCTTTGCCCTTGTCATCGTGGGCCTTTGCCTCGGCCTGATCATCCTTGTCTTCGTCAAGGCCCTCGCGCTGCTGCTGCGGCGGCGGTAGCGGCACCTCCTCCATATGTACAGGCTCAGTCTTCACAGCCCTCTCTTCGCCCGCAGCGACAACCTTCTTCAGGATGACCATGTGCTTGTCAAACTCTTCCAAAAGAGCAGCGTAGTCTTCCTTGCTGCCGCCGCCGCTCTTGACCGAGCTCTGCGAGCCGGGCAGCGACTCGCCCAGCGAACCAGTCGTGTCGTCTCCCGTCATCTCAACCCCCTCAATCTTCAGCATCAATGCTCCGCCGTCATCCTCCTCGGCGTCGCTCTGTCCCTCGGCGTCCGCTTTAGGGCCCCGGGCGGCCGATGAATCCTCGATCCTCGTGATCCTCGCATCTGTCACGGCAAAGTCTCCGCTGAGGCTCGACGCCGAAGTCACCCGCCACGAAGCCGAGTCTCCCGTCTTCCCATCCTCGACCGGTGCGACATCGACGAGAATGGCATGGTTCTTCGGCTTCGAGGCGCTGTGCGACGACGACGACGACGACGCGGCCTGGTTTCGGGCGTGCGAGTCGGCGAGCGCGGCGGTCAGGACGGCGGGATCGTCGTCTGCGAATATGTACTGCACGCGCGGGTGGTGTGTTTGCTGGCTCGTCGAGGCTGTGGCGCCAAACTTGGTGTTCGTGACGAGGGTGAAGAAGCCGGCGGGGTCGAGGGAAGGCTGGGGCGGGGCACCGCTCTCGGACCGTCGAGACTGTGAGGATGTCCGGCGCGGGTTCTCGGGAGGCAGGTCTGCGGTATGGAGTGCCGGGTGTGGGGGGTTGAGGCGGGAGGTTGAGTCGTTCGCCGGGGCATGCGTGTCGGCCATCTTGAGAGCTTGGAGCTCGGTCTTGGAGATGGGTCGATGGTAGGTTCGGCGCGTGGCCTTCGATCGCTCGACTAGAGGGCCGTGAACGAAGGGGTGCTGTTTTCCGGAGACGCCCTTCTGATCATCGCTCTTGGATTCGGATGACTTGGGAGCACTTGGGGTCTCGGGGATGGAAGAGAGGGAAGATGGATCGAAGGTCTTTGAAGATGGCATGGTCGGGGCTGTTGGGGGAACGTCACTCTTATCGGTGTGGACTCGTTATCGCCACGTGATCTCATATCAAGGTCGTCGTGATGTTGCTGAGCTTAAAGGGCAAAGGGGAGCAGGAAGGTGCGCTGTGCAACGATAATGATGCACTAGGTTCTTTTCGCCGGTAACAAGTAGTAAACAAATGCTGTGCAGGCGCTTGCGTGATTTCTACGTTGGTATACCTGTTGATTTCCCTAGAGCCGGGTTCTTTTTACAGACAGGCAACAGCATCTCCTCAGCCACAGCCAGTGAAATCAGGCTGACTGCCTCGCCGTAGGCTTTCATCGAGCCCAAGATGTACTTATGGACTATGCATCATTGTCAGAGAGAAGTCTTTCGTAAAAGTATCGAAAGCCAAGGGGTATCATATTTTTCCTGTATAACGCCGCACACTAGTCCGCCATCATTCAGCCTATCTAGGGAGAGCACCATCATTCATTGCCAGATCATTCTGTCTCTGCCTCACCCTCCACCTCTTGCCGAGCTCCTGGCTCATCAGGCTGATTTGTCCATTCAAATTCTGGAGAGCTTAGCTTGCATCCAAATACTCGCGGGGACCCGCGCAGAACCTACTCTGTCGGCACATGGGGCATTGGCCCTTCGCCGCGTCTTGCTTTATCCATTCCAGGATGCAATGCTGAGCAGGAGTCAGCGGAGATGCAGTCACGGGTAGAAGCAAGCAGACCTACCATATGAAAATTATGTCCACATTTTCCAGACACTGTTCAGGCAGTCAATGACTGATCCTTGGCTGACCCAAAGTTGACTTACATAAACTGCAGTCATCGCCAGGATATTTGCAAGTTGGGCATGTTCCGTCGAAATGGACTTGGCAGATGCCACAGACGTCGTCCTCAGGAATATCCCACCGCCACGTTGCGACCGTATCCCAAGAAGTGATTTGCACCTTCATGTTGGGCCACGAAAAGGTTTCGAGTATCAGACTCGGCAGAAGGGCGGCGTGCACGTGAAGATGGAAAGTCACTTCGTTGACATCTGAAGTGGTGAGGGGCAGTTGGAGATGCTGGCAGCCAAACCCGTTAGCAATTGGTTCCACTAAATGACTGCTAATCACATGGCCCAAGCTCCACGCATACAGTGCATTGGTGCAGCTGTGGTCAGCCAAGACAACCGCCCCCTCCAGTCGGAGTCCGTCCAGATGCCGTTCCTTATCAGCCCGCCTGCCTCCCCCATTTCCTGCCGCTGATCGACCTCTCGCCCGCCCGTCCGTCCCTGTGCTGATACCACCACTGTCGTCACGCCTCTGCGAAGTAGTCTTACTCTGCCGACAACAGGGAGTCATCCAACCACCTGCACCGTGCAATGCCTTGTCAAAAGAACCAGCAGTAAGCTTTTGACTTGTCTTCCTCATCCAGGAAGCCGGGTTCCGAAGCTGTGACTGTTGCTCGCCGCCGTCCTCGGCCTTCTCTCTAGCTATCACGCCATCGACGTGAAGACTCCTCCGTCGAACCCCTCACATTAAGATGGCCAGCGCCGCCGTCTACCGCTCGACCCGAGCAGCGCTGCCTCGGTGGCACGCCAGAACCCACCAGATTGGTTTCACGGCCATCTGCCGTTCCTTCTCCTCCTACCTCGTCACCCCGAAAGAGCTGCACGAGGCCTTGCAGAAGAACCCCCCGACGAAGATCAGCACCGATCCGCGAGTCGTCCCCGTCTGCGCCTCCTGGTTTCTTCCCAACGATGGAAGGACAGGCATCGACACGTTCCGCGAGCAGAGGATTCCCAAGGCGAAATTCTTCGACCTCGACAAGGTCATCGACCGCAACAGCCCCTACCCGCACATGCTGCCGTCCGGCAAGGACTTTGCCGCGACCATGAGCGAGCTAGGAATACGCAAGGACGACACCGTCGTAGTGTACGACACGAAGGAACTGGGCATCTTCAGCGCGCCCCGTGTCGGCTGGACGTTCAAGATCTTTGGACACCCCAAGGTCCACGTCCTGAACAACTTCAAGCAATGGGTCGAGGAGGGCCTGCCCACCGAGTCGGGCGAGCTGTATTCTGTTGAGTGTTGCACCTACCAGATCCCCTCGCTGGACGAGAGCAAGGTGGCTGAATTTGAAGAGGTTCGCGAGGTCGCTCTTGACCACAACAAGGAGGGCGCCGAGGGCGTGCAGATTCTCGATGCTCGGTCGCCCGGGCGCTTCGCCGGCACGGATCCCGAGCCCCGCGAAGGCCTGTCGTCGGGACACATGCCCGGCGCTATCAACGTCCCCATTGGTGCTCTTCTCGACCCTCAGACGAAAGCATTCCTCTCGCCTGAGAAGTTGAGGCAGGTGTTCAAGGAGAAGGGTGTTGACCCTGAGAAGCCCATCATTTCGAGCTGTGGCACTGGTGTGACTGCCTGCGTCATTGAGACTGCCCTCGAGCAGGCACAATATGGATCTGCGGAGAAGCGCAAGGTCTATGATGGCAGCTGGACGTGAGTGGCTTGCATTCCAAACATCGAATATCTACTAACTCTGTGCACAGAGAATGGGCCCAGCGTGTCTCGGCATCCGACTCGCTGATCAAGAAGAAGGAATAGGCTGGAGCTGGTGGTTTGATGGTTGCGCGCGATTGCGATACCCCGCTTTACCCCTCTCTTGGTTTTTTTGTACAACTTGGACGTCACGATATCCCGACTCATGGCTTCTGCGGTCTCTTCTTAATGACTGTTGCACATCTGGTGGCTTCGAGTGAATGCTTCTGGGAACGATTGCTTGCTTGGTTCAGTGACAGGACGTACATAGGGTAGTAGAGCAATGCACAATGAATTTGCGATCTGTCTTATGGGTCTGAACCTCTGGAACGTTATGCTCATGACGAAAGCCCAGGAAATTGCGATCTCCATGCAGTCGTTATTCAATTGTCAAAGGAGATGCCAGCATGACGCCGTCATCCCGGTCCCACGGAAATAAACCTCGGTGTGAAGCTCACCGAGATGGTAATCGGTGTGGCCGCCGACCTGTAGTGGGGTCACTGAAGCGCACCCCACCAGCACATTGTGGCCTAAAAGTTGAGGCCGCACCCGCCAATCGAAGAATTAGGGCTCGCATCACCGAGCCACACCAATTTTTGCTGGCCGGGCAAACGAACGGGCCCCCGCAAAATTTCCGCGGCCCTGACCTCCTACTTCGAATTCGACCTCAGAACTCACCCACGCCCAACGAAACCGACGACAGCCCCCAAAAACATCGCCCTTGCGCCGACACGACTGTCACCCGACAACAACACAAGCGCAAACATGGCTGACCGTGGAACAAGCGCCCCTCGCGGCGGTGGTGGATTCGGAGCCCGTGGTGGTGATCGCGGTCGTGGCCGTGGCCGTGGCCGTGGACGTCGCGGCGGCAAGAACGAGGAGAAGGAGTGGCAGCCCGTCACCAAGCTCGGTCGTCTTGTGAAGGCCGGCAAGATCAGCTCCATTGAGGAGATCTACCTGCACTCTCTGCCCGTCAAGGAGTACCAGGTCGTCGATGCCTTCCTGCCCACCCTCAAGGACGAGGTCATGAAGGTGAGCCGCCACAGAACCACGCAGCAGGGCACAGCAATTTTGCTGCGGCCTGGCGAACATCACGGAACACAACCAAAGCACAGCAGCTAATCCGTCCTTCTTCCTCCCAACAGATCAAGCCCGTCCAGAAGCAGACCCGTGCCGGTCAGCGTACCCGTTTCAAGGCCATTGTCCTGATCGGTGACTCCAACGGCCACGTCGGTCTCGGCATCAAGACCTCCAAGGAGGTTGCCACCGCCATCCGCGCCGCTATCATCATCGCCAAGCTCAGCGTCATCCCCGTCCGTCGTGGTTTCTGGGGTACCAACCTTGGTCAGCCCCACTCCCTGCCCTGCAAGGAGTCTGGCAAGTGCGGTTCCGTTACCGTCCGTGTAAGTTGAAATCTCGAACAAGACGACCCGTCGAACCCAATTGGCAGCAAGAGCGGCAAACTGACAAGCGTTTCGCAGCTCATCCCCGCCCCCCGTGGTACCGGTGTCGTCGCCTCCCCCGCCGTCAAGCGTCTCCTGCAGCTTGCTGGTGTTGAGGATGCCTACACCTCGTCCGCTGGCTCCACCAAGACCCTCGAGAACACCCTGAAGGCCACCTTCGTCGCCGTCTCCAACACCTACGGCTTCCTGACGCCCAACCTGTGGAAGGAGACCAAGCTCATCCGCAGCCCGCTGGAGGAGTTCGCCGACACCCTGAGGGATGGCAAGAAGTACTAGAGAGGAGAAGAGGAGAAAGATGAGGGCAAAGAGCAAATGGGGAGCGGAATGGCTACGGGATTCTGTTCACCAGGGGAGTGGCGTTCTTATTTGCGCGTTTCCACTGCATCATCGGTTGGCCAGGGCATGAGATCATGGCTAGGGGCTAGCTCGGATCTGGAATAAAAGATCAAATGCATGACGCTTGGGAGCGGGTGCTCTCCTGGAATTGTGGTTTGACGACTTGAATGCGAATGCGACATGATGAGGCAGTGTGTTATCGATTGCAGAGGCAAGAGAAAGTGTATGAACGTGCACGGCCGTGGCTTACGTGATGAAGTAGACAACAGTTGACGACAATGCATGCCTTGGTAAGTAGAACTTCGTGATGATGCTCGTCTACAACGTCACAGAACCTACCGATTGCCCTGCATCTTTACCACCCCTCACAGGTCGGCAGTATTCTGCAAACTGCCAGCACAGCCTCTCATCACACCACCATTGGCTCGCGCGATGAGGGTATGCAGAGTGACTGGACGCCACTCCGCCCGCCACAGTGCCGCGGCCAACGGAAAGGCAGACTCGAGGCTGAAAACGTGACCGACAGACGAGCTGATCAGATCCTCGGTCTGAGGCAGCAGCATTCTTTCTCATGGTGCTCTTGTCATTTTCCATTTCCGCCATCTCCTTTCGCACCATATCGAGGGAATTGATATTTGAACGCCCTTCACAAGGAGATCTTGGTCCGCACAAGCCCGGAACCCCTCCCTTACTGTGCCCGTCTGGTACGGACTCGATGTTCTTCTCGTAACACCACCGACCTACCGTGGCTTCACGTTATTTCTCGCGATGGCAGCAGCGCGGGCTCATATTGTCCCAGCAAACGGGTTGACAGTACTTGTTGAGCCTGAGGTCGCCTCAATCGAGTAAGCTGAGAGCTTCCCTTATCAGTGCACACGACTTGAAATGTCGACGAGCGTCAATTCCTAAGAAGATGATGGATGAGTCTATCAGGATTGCCGGGTACGGCCGCTTGCTTCTTGATCACTCCAGGGCCCCTTGATTTTCATCTTCCATGATGCTCATGATACCCCGAGGATGTTGCTTAATGTGTAACCTGGGAGTTTCCGTACACGTAAAGAACTAACCAGCTTAGCATCGTATTCGTCCACGGATTTACCGGCCATCCCGAGCGCACTTGGCTCCAGAAATCGCCTTACACTTACCAGAAGCAAGCCAGCTTTGGAACCAAGAACGTACGGTCTTCGAGGTTTCGAGGCATATTAGATAGCTTGAAAGGACGGCCGGAGAACAATGTTTACTGGCCCAGAGATTTGCTGCCCGCTATTATCCCTGACGCAAGAGTCCTGACATATGGGTACGATACGCGAATCAGCCATCCGTTCGGCCCGCAGAGAAGCCAGTCTGGGGTTTACGCCATCGCTCGGGACTTTTTATGTGAACTCGAGGGCAGGCGTCAATCTCCGGGTCGGCCAATTATATTCGTTGTCCACAGTCTTGGAGGTATTGTTGTGAAGGAGTTGTTGAAAGCATCCTCTGAGAGCCTTGACGAGCGCGCCTTCTTGAAGGACGTTCACGACTCAACGGCAGGGGTTTTGTTCTTCGGCACACCACATGCTGGTGCTGACCCACGAGGACTGGCGCACCACATTGTCCAATCGATCGCTAGAGCGATGCGGATCTCAGCCAATTCTCAGGTACTCGACACACTGCTGCCTTCTTCCGAACGACTTGAAGAGCTCAGAGATCATTTCAAGCCAATGGCTATTCGCCAAAATTGGTTGATATACTCCTTCCAGGAAGCTCTTCCGGTTCAGTTGCTGGGCAAGAAAGTAGTCGAAGACGTCTCGTCGTGCCTAGAAATACCTCAGGAGATCAGGCAACACATCCATGCCAACCATATGGAGATGTGCCGCTTCAATGAGCTGGAAGACCCGCAATTTCAAAAAGTCAAGCATGCTCTGCGCAGGCTTGCCGAAGCTGCCTTGGCTCGAACACGAGCTACATCACCGGGCCCTCTTATGGAGTCGGACGCGACTGATCTCACGGAAGAGCAAAAGAAAGTCTTGATTCAGTCCTTGGCATTCGAGCAGCTAGATGCGCGCCAGGGCAGTATCAAAAAAGCACACGACAAGACATGTAGGTGGCTGCTTCAAAGAAAAGCCTACTTGGATTGGCTGGACTCTGAAAATTTTGACCGTCATTATGGCTTCCTTTGGATTCAAGGCAAACCGGGTGTTGGAAAGTCTACGATCATGAAGTTCCTGTGTACTGAAATGAAGAACAGCTCGTGAGTCATCCCTGCTTAGAGTTAGTCTTGAATTATCTGCTTTTGAGTGCATGCTGACCACGGCTTAGTGAATCGGTCAAAGTCATCATTACATTCTTCTTCAACGCAAGCGGTGATGATTTAGAGAGGTCGACATTGGGGATGTACAGATCTTTGCTCCTTCAACTCCTGGATGAGATCCCGTCACTTTGGGCAATCTTCAATCAAATCTATAAGCTACGATGGCGAACAGCTGAACGCCATTGCTGGGATGTAGGTATCCTCCAAGAGCTTTTGGAAGCGGCTGTTGAACATTTGGAAAATCATTCGGTTACGTTCTTCATCGACGCCCTAGATGAATGCAAAGATTCCGATGTTCACGACATGATCGACTTTATGAGACGCGTGAGCCAGAAAGCTGTTCTATTCGGAAGTCAGGTGCGCACATGCTTCTCTAGCAGACATTATCCCATCATCACACTGGATAGAGGTATCGAGGTTGTCCTAGAAAACCAGAGTGGCCATGCCGAGGATATCAAGGAGTATATCGAAGCGAAACTCAAGCTCGGTACGTCACAAGCAGCGAAAGACTTTGGTTCGGAGGTACAAAAAAAGGCAGCTGGAGTTTTCATGTGGGTCGTACTTGTTGTACACATCTTGAATGATGCCCATGTTGGCGGCCAAGGTCGCATCCAGGAACTCAGAACGCGGCTTGACGTTTTGCCACGAGACTTGCACGATCTTTTCAGAAATATCCTCGACAGGAACAACACAAACTTGGAGCACCTTGCGCTTTGCCTCCAGTGGATTCTTTTCGCCAGACGACCGCTGACCCCTCCAGAGCTCTACTTTGCTCTCCATTGCGAAGGAAACACACTAGGGGGCCTCCCGTCTGCGGCGTGGAATCGCGAGGATATTCCACTTGATATGATTGAGAGATTTGTCATCACTTCCTCAAAAGGTCTTGCGGAAATCAGACGAAA